TATTTAGCCCTAAGAAGAAATGATATATGTCACGGTATGGATGAACCTTGAAAACAGTACACTAAGTAAAGGAAGCCAGATGCAAAAGGCCACGTATTGTACAATTCCATTTCTGTGACAACAAGCAAATCCATAGAGGCAGGAAGTCGGTGTGTGGTTGGGGGGGTGGGGCTGGTGGGAGGGCAGAGTGGAGAGTGACTGCTAAGTGGGTACAGGGTTTATCTGGGGGAGGCAAAAATGTTTCCAGACTCGAGAGAGGTTGCACAACCTTGTCAATGTACTGAATACCACTGCATTATACTCTTCAAAATGGTGAAAATGGTAAACTTTATGTGAACTTTATTTCAATAAAGAAAAAAAAAACCCAACAAACCTTCCTAATAAAGGTAGGTTCTAAGTAATTAGGCAAAATCTGAGGGTTAGGGTGGGAGGTGAACAGTTTTTGAGAGTGTCATCAGAGAAGTAGATATTATCAGATCCCTATGTGCAAGGGCAAAAAAGCTAGTTTTCATTTGTTAGTTGAAGGTCTGCTGGTTTGAAAGCTGCTCCCAGGACCTGGGAGGCTCCCGTTTTTCTCCCGTTCAAAGGCTGAAAGTCACCCAAGAGATCAGTTTTCTTAAAGGGGAGGGCGAGGCCCAGCCTAATTTGAATATAAACAGAAGGATGACCCTTCCGGCTGAAGGTTTAGGGACTGGCATTTAGGTTCCATGTTGCAACCAGTGCCTGGGAGGGGAGACTGAGCAAGTGGCCAACTTTGAGGGCGAGAAGTCACAAACCCCTGCCCTCAGGCAGATGGGCCTAGCCAGGCGCTAGCGAGCTGAAGTTGGAGACCTCACTTCTGGAAATTTCAGCAGGCATAATTTACTTTTATGTATTGGTTTCCTATCCATCTCCCCGGAGGGTCTCTCAATTCCACAGAAGTGGGGGCGTGCGTCTTGAATTCACCAGTTTACTCAGCAGTGCTTGGTCCACAGTAGGTGGGGTTTCAATATGTGTCTGTGGACTGACAGCCAAGGCCACCAGGAAAGTCCCTAGGTGAGGGGTGAATGCTGACGTCGGCACTGCCCGAGGCGCAGGAGTGGGGCAAGGTGAACGTGGGAGCAAATCTCGCTAACACGCAGGTGCCAAGAACTGCCTGCTCCATTCACTGCCGAGAGGGAAGGAGGGAGCGGTGACCAGGAAGTGACGCGCCCGAGTTGCATCTCAAGACGGCAAGGGCTCCCGGGTCAGAGGCTGGGAGGGCAGAGCCTATGAGAAAGCAACATGCGGGCCACCGGGGCCGACCCACCCTGGGACTGCGGGGCACTCGCGGCAGGTCAGACTGGCAGCGGCCGCCTTGTGTGTGGGGCTCCTACCCCAAGGGCAGTGGAAGCACCTGCAGGCACACCTGGGAGATGCTGTGGGTTTGGTTCCAAGTGACCCCATTGAATCTCATAATAAACCGACTTGTTCAGTTTCCCAGTGCATATAAAGACTGTTTACACTGCCCTGTAGTCTATTACGTATGCAATAACTACGTCTGAAAAACAATGTACATACCTCAATTAAAAAACACTTTGTTGCTAAGAAAATGCTAACCGTCACCTGAGTCTTCGGGGAGTCGCCGTCTTTTTGCTGGGAGAGGTTTCTGCCTCGACGTGGATGGAAATGTGGAACCTGTGAAGCGCCGTGAAGCGGGGTCGGCCTGCGGCCCGATCTGGGTGGCTCCCTCAGGCCGTTACACGGAGGATGGATGTGAGACAGAAAGACAAGGGGGGAGGCTGCTGAAGGGATCTCAGAGGAGGAGGAAAGGGAAGTAGAAGACCGCTTGTCGCACTGACATTGATGATGAGCGTGAAAAGGAGGGGAAGGATTGAGGGCGTCATTCTGGTACGTAATGTGCTGGGGTTCGGACCTGAGTGCTCCTGTTGGGAGGGAGATGGGAGGAGGAGTCTAGAATACAGGGAGCAGTCAAGGCTGTGGGAGCAAAATGAGAAAACCTAGAGCACAAGCGGCCGGGCGCACCGAAGGACCTCCTGTCGCTTGGACCCGGCCATCCGGGAGTCAGGGGGAACCGTGGGGAGACGGGGCCTTCAACAGGGCGAAGGAAGAAACAAGCCTGCAGTGATGAGGGGCATCAGGCAAAACCTACTGTTCTAAGCACCTCGGCTGTTCCAGGAGGAGGGAAGAAGAGTCACTTACAAGGGATCAGGGGCCCAGAAAGCTAATTTTTGTTCTTTTAATCATTAAGATGAGCAAGATGCACAAGCATAACAGGCCAGAGAGATGGAACCAGTAGAAAGGGTGAGTTTGATGATGAACGGGAGAGGAGACAAGGGGTGCCGTGACCCTTTAGGCCGCTGGAGGGGTGCGGCGAGACCACCAGCCTTTGAAAAGGACAGGAATGCTTCAGGGCCCAGTGACGAAGTGGGGTTCAGTCCGCTTTGAAGAGGCCGCGGGGGCTTTAGAAGAGGAAGGTTTAGCCATGGACCCCAGGGACTCTGCTCTGGACCCGCGGCCCCAGCTGTGCACAGGCCGCCCTTCCGTGGGCCGTGTGCTGCCGAGGACTGAGGGGCAGAGACGGTCCCCAGGGAACCCCTCCCGGAGACACAGGGCTGCTCCGAGGGCGGACCCGAGCTCGAGGACTCCCCCGAGGCCTCGCGGAGCCTCCTTAGATGACATGGCGGCCTCGGGCAATTTCACGCAGCCTTCCCTCCTTCTGGCCTTCATGGGGGTCAGACCCCCCTGGCGCCGCCCCGTTCCCTTCTCATTTTCTCCCCTTCAAAACACCTGCACACTGAGTCCAACGGGCATCGTCTTCTCGGAGGACCCAGGCTAACACAGCCACCCGTAGGCACAAGGGACAAAGTCAGAAAGGCTGAGCCAGGGAAACTCGGACCCCTCGATGAGAGGCGTTGAGACTAAGATCGTGACGGGTCTGAGTGCGACAGCACAACGGGTGGGGGGTACGCAGGGGGTTCCTGGTCACCTCCTCACGATGACTGTCCACCTGGCACGAGGTAGGTCCAGGCAGATGTGACACCTGGGGATGGGTGTGAATACAGACAAATGCATGGGGGGGCACGGGGGAGAGGCTGAAGGGGTTCCCACCCAATTCTCTGAGAGCAGGAAGGGAGGGCAGCTACTGGCGGGATCCTGCAGAGGCGGGGAAGGCTGCCTTGCCGTGGGGAGCGAGAGAGAAGCTGACGAAGATCGTAAGGGAGGACGAGTGGGGAGAGGGTGGAGAGGACGCAGCGGCAGGAAGGCGGGTTAGGGCCTTGTAGGCTGTGGGCGGGTCTCTGGATTTCACACTGAGCAGGGACTGCACATGGTCATCACCTCAGAGGGGACCTGGGTGGGCGGAGGGGATCATGCCTTTATCTATAGATTGGAAGGAGACAAAAAAAAAAAGAGGTGAAGAAGTTAAAAAAGTTAAAAGATGTTATCAAAAGCTGCTTTTAAAAACTATATATTTAAGGGTGAAAAAAAAGAGGCGGAGGTCTTTCATTGCACTCTGTTGTGAGCACTGGCCGACTTACCTGTGAACGCATCGTCGTTTTTGGAAATCACTTAATGTTGGTAACAAGTTGACACTTAGTCCCTCCTCCCGGGAAGCTACCGCTCCATTTCTTTGGGCCAGACGGACGGCGGCAGTTCCCGTCTTGCCGTGACAGCAGCCGCCGATCCCAGTCTCAGCCCTCCAGGCCCCCCTGGGTTTTCAGCTCTGCACCATCCACTGCGAGCGTCTGTCCGTGTGTCTGTGTGTGTGTGACCACAAGCACTCCATGTGACAAAAACCGGTTTTACAAAATGTGGGCCTTCGTAAACAAAAAGTATGCCATACACTTTTATTAAATCATGGAAAACTCATCAGTACACAAATTTCTTCCACTTTGGGGAAAACTGGGATATGGAACAGCTGGGTAACAAAACAGATGAATGATACATCTCACTTTAAGCAGAGACAAGTTTTAAGCTGTCACTTTTTTTTTTTTTAAGGTGAAATAATCAGTAACAGGTTCTTGGCTTCTTTCACCTTTCAGCCATAGGAATCTCTCTCTTATGGCTCCCAATTCTCTTTAAGGATGTTTTTCATTACTTAAACCAACCATAACTTTAAAAGATGGTTCACTTGACGTCTTAATATGAAATCAATTTCTTCTTCCCTAGCACGGGCCTGCAGGGCACTGTAAATGCCAGATTTCGGGGGACAGCCTCCTCCCACAGGACTGAGTAGGCTTCCCTTCCACCACAGCAAACGTGCACGACTATGTGGACTCTATTTCAGAATAAGTTAAATACTAAGACATACGGCACGGCAATACCATCCTAGTTTTCCTCCTACCAAGTAAATCTGGAGGCTTGCCCCCATCTTACACACTGATAAAGGGTGAAGACTTGGGAGGCCCAGTGATACCGAGAGTGGACAACAGCCGTCAGAACCACCTCATCCTCTCCACGCGTGGGCCAGAGTCACACAGACGGTCCCCTCCAGAGTCACACCCGCGTTCGTTCCACGGGGCCCACGGGGGACGGACTCTGAACTGCTGATGCAAACGGGCAGCGGTTTTCAAGTTTAGGTTGTCGCTCGTTCTGCTTTCGAACAAGACCCAGAAGGTCACACGGTGACCTGTCTGCACTCACCCCAAATACTCACATAATATAAACACAAATTAAATATTACCCAAGTTATTTTAAATTAAATCGAAAACCACTATTCTTAAGTGCACGGTATCCCCGCCCCCCCGCCCCAGCTTCTTGAATGCGTGTTACAGGGCGAGGACTACATCGTTGGCGATGTTCGGGTTTCTACGGTGTTGGAAGCCAACCTGCTTCCTCCGACGGCCCCCTGGGGCACCGCACGCGACCCCCATGGGGCGCGAGCAATTTTCTACTCCAAATGGGGGGACTGTCTCAAACAGCCACGTTCCCAAACTGAAGTCTGGATTTCAGAGTCCTTAAAGCAGGATCTCAACAATGGGACCTTTGGGACGGGCTCCTCGCCCGTGCGGACAGCCTGCTTCCCCGGGGACACTCCGCTGACCCTTCCTCCTGCCAGCCTCACTCCAAACTGCCCCCCAGGCCTGGGCCCCGCAGACCTGGCCATCGCCCGGGGGGGGTGTAAACAAACCTGGGCGAGGCGGCCTCATTTCTGCACATTTTGGTCATGTCACTGAAAAATGCCTTGGGTTAAGAAAAATAATTGGAAAAGCTGCCCCCACGGTCAATGTCTCACAAGGCGTGTTGGTTGCCCATCCTGCTGTGGAAGACTAGAAAGTCAGCACCAGTACCTTTTGCTTGGCTTGTCCCATATGGTATCAAACAAAGTCAGACACGTATCTTTGGATGACCTTCCTCCTGCAACGTGATACAGGCTCATCCGATCTCGTCACTGGAGGTGACTTGGAGAGGTGACCAGGCTCTTGTGCAGGTTAGGGTTCTGGCTGTGTCTGTTCCGACTGCGAACAGACGAGAACATGGTGTTGCAGCCCGGCACTTTGCATTTGTGCAGCTGGCGGAGGTGCACGGTTTTGTAGTGGGCCCTGAAGGTCCCTCTGTTGCTGTATGTCTTTTGGCAGAGGTGGCACGTTATGGGCAGCCCAGAAGGCAGGCCGGCGAGGCTCTGGTCGGCCTTGTCCATCAGGACACAGATGGGGAACTCATCGTCCCCGGGCCCAAGGCTCGGGCCGTCGCAGGTCCCGTCACTGTCCTCCATGAGCACGGTGCCTTCCTCGCTGGCCCCGTCCGAGTCCCACGAGGAGTGGCTGCTGCTCTCCGACTTCATGCTTGAGGTAGCGCTCAGATCCAGGACGGTGCCCTCGCTGGGCGGGCCCGCGCGGTAGCTCTCCAAGCCGGCGCCGTGGACTTGGGCCAGGGGGTAAACCAGGCTGCCCATCCGACTGGTTCCCTTGAAAATGACAGACGTCTGGGAGGCTTGCTGTGTGAAAGCCACATCCTGGTAGGCGTCCTTCGCCACGTCCTTGAGGAGGTAAGCTGCCCGGAAATGCTCATCACTGCTCTCCACGGCCTCTTGGGTCAAAGCCTTTTGGTGGAGGTTTAGGTTTGAGCTGTGTCTACAAGAGTGAAAAGATGGTTAGCAACGGGTTGCACTGGCTGCTTTCAAAACAGAGTCATTGTTCGGAGCGGAGACCCGAAGCGGAGACCAGACAAAACGTGAGGCATGTGCGGCGTGACGAAAAGGGGCGTGGGGTGCAATGCGTGTTTCGTGGACATTGGCCCGCTGACGCTCGCCCCTCGCCAGAAATGAGCATTCCCGGGAAGTCAGCGGGTCTGGGGACTGGGGTGTGTGCTCCTCTTCTGTTTCCACTATCTAACTGACACGTTAACTTCCTGGGCCTCATCTAAAGAGAATGGCTAGACGATTTCAATTAGGCCAATTTGACGGGGATGTTGGAACAGCGGGTCCCAGGAAATACCTGGTCGCCCATCATAAGGAACTAAAGAGAGGACTCTATTTCAATGACACCCGGAGACAGTACCTTCTCGAGCGGCACGGTCCAGTCGATAGCCGCTCCTGCACGGTACTGAGTGCCTGAGGGGTGGCTGCATCACATAGTGAAATGATAATGTTTGGGATAGACTGCAACACACTGTCACTGAAATGTACTTCACTCGTCTCTGCTTTTTCTACCGTGGCTACAAGGAAACTTAAAGTTTCCCGCGTGGCTCGCGCAGCAGGGGTGAGGGCGTTTGCACGCACATCGCCCCAGCAGTTCTGCGGGTGTGAACGTCTGATGGGCTGGAAAGAGTAGGGTGTGCGAGAGGAAGCGCGCACTAAGTCCCGTTCCCATTTGCCACGTTTCCCTGGATACCAGACAGCGGTTCTGCCAAGGCAGCACTGTGAGCGCACACCAATCACCAGCCTCCCACCCGGTGATTACGCCGCGGGGCAGGTAATGAGTATCCATTATGACACAGGCCTTAGACTCATACAATATCATTTGGATGTAACTTGTCAATCAATGGGGGCCTTGCTCAGAGATTCCCTGCTACCCTGACAAGCAAACACAGCCTGTATCCAGGGCTACGATCTTCAAGGGGACAGGAAGGTGACTCCAGACACCTCAGAATGCACACCAGGTTCAGACTGGGAGAAACACCGTCACCGAAATAAACAAGGACTGAATTTTCTTTTCCACATCTCCGAGGACACACAAGGAGGGAGCGAGTGTAATCCAACTTCAGATCTCCGATTCCACTTCTCTCCCTTACGCGTTCTTTTTCCCCGGACGTCATCAGAATTGCGCTCCCAGATCACCCACTTTGCAGCAGGTCTCCTTAACTACAGCTCTGACCTGTGATTATGTCAGCGTTCTGGGTTGGAGGGGCAGGAATGTGTCAGCAGAAAATCAGACGCAAGGTTGACATACAGGTTCCAGTACATACACGCGATTGCAAGAAACACACACAAACACACTCACTGGAACCTCGTACAGAAAGGCCCCGGCAGCAACAAACCAAAGCTCTGGGCCGCACGCTCAGCTCCCGAGTGTCCTGTGAATATCGAGAGCTACAGCGATTAAAAGCACCTTCCTCCTTCCTCCACTGCAAGGATGAGGTCACCGTGCCTCACGCCACACCCTTGGACCCGGATGTGCCTCTGAATTCAGAATTTCTCAGACTTTAGACAAAGCAGGATGATGCATGTACTGTAATACTACGTTAAAGCCCCCATAATAAATCCATGAATATTTCTGCCCTGAACAGACACAAGAAATCCACACAGAAGGTGATTTTAAAAAATGACGACAAATAGTCTCCCATCATTTCACGTCACATCCTGTGGCCAAAAGGGCTTAGATTTTGGAACTGAACATCCAGGAGGGCGGAGCTATAGGACAGGGTTTCTCAGTGTGTGCCCGGCCCAGCAACATCGTGTCACCGGGCCCTTAGAAATGCAAGCTCTCAGGCCCCACGCTGCCCCCCTGAGGCAGGAGTTCTAAGCGCAGGGCTCAGAAGCCCGTTTCAACACCCCTCCAGGTGATAAAGAACCGCCACCTTAGGACAAGCCATCGCCAGCAGGTGCCTTACCTGTCCCTGCTCCTGCGGGAGGGGAAGGTGGCCGTGCAGCCCTCCACCGTGCAGACGTGTGTTTCCTTGGCGTGCATGTTCTTGTGGTGCATTTTCACGCCGCAAGCATTCTTGAAGGTCTTCTGACAGATGTCACACTGGTGGCGACTCTCTTCCTTCTGCCTCGCCACCGCGTGCTGACCCGGGTGCTCCAGTTCTTTAGAATCTTCGAAACAAGGAAAGGCCACTCCTCTGGTGGACAAAGTGCTGAACAGCCCCCCGGCCAGCAGGCGCTGCTGCAGGCTGATGTAGTCTGGGAAGGGGACACAGGGCTCCATCCCAGGTGCGAGGCGGAGGTCCCGGCCACCATCCGCCGCCTCCCTTGGCACCACGGTCAGGTCTGGCTTCTGCTCCGTCTCCGAGTCGTGCGTGGCCTGCTCAGGGGTTCGGCTGACGGCCCCCCTGGGCTCGATCACCGATGGGAGATGGCAGGGCCTCTGCCCTTCAGGGAGAGGCTTTCCTAGGCTCCCCGGCGGTGCATGCTGCTCCTCCAGCGCCCTGTCCGACCGAGGACTGCAGGCCTCCGGCTCATCCTCACTGACCACCTGCAGGGGCATGTCTTCATCCGAGCTGAGTGCGTGCCTCTTCTCGTTCGCTATTTCCACAGCTTCCTTCTCTATTTTGATAGGCATGCTGGACTTCCGGGATTTCTTCTTGGGAAGGGCGTCGAATGGCATTGCGTTGGAAACCAGCTGTTCCGAGATCGAGGAAGACAGCAGGGGGAGAGACGGCAGCAGCCCCGGCGTGTTGGCCAGCTCCGCTGGAGTGGCCGGACTGCGGTAGAAAGGGAGGACCGGCTGGACTGTCTTGAGGTTGGGAAAGAGCACGCCGTTCTGGCCGACGCCCGGGAAGGCCGCTGGGCCCCTGGGATCCTCGCCTGAACCCGGGCAGCCAGGGAGAGGCCTGCAGCCTGGAGACGTTGCCGTGTACCCTGCCCGCTTGCAGTTCTCAGAGGTGGCCAGGCTCAGGCTGTTCCTTAGGTCCTTGTCCCTGTTGTTCCTGTTCATCGGCATGTGCAGCCGGGGGTTGGGGTTGGCGCTGTGGCGGTTCCGGCTCCTCAGGGAGCTGAACACCATGTTACACCCCTCGATGGTGCACTTGTGCTTGATCTTCAGGTGGACGGCGTTGTAGTGGATCTTGAGGGTGCCTTTGTCGTAGAAGGTCTTCTCGCAGGCCGTGCAGAACACCCGGCCCTTCTTAGTGCCGAGGCTGTTCCTCTCGGGCTTCACTTTGGCCTCGGGGGACAACTGTGTCCTTTCCAGCTTAGTGACGATGTTGTAGGAGCTGGAGTCGCTTAAATGGGCGCTGTCTTCCTTGCTAGTAACAGCATCAGGACAGCTCAGACACGGCTCTTTCTCGACCTGGAACGGTGTGGAGCTTGAAGTCAGGAAGCCGCTGTCGGGGAAGGGTCCGTGGATTTCCTGTCTGGGGTCCGGACTCGGGTCCTGGCCCTGCTCCAGCACATACTGCTCGGGCAGCGACCCTAGCAGGGCGGGAGGCATGGGGTTGAAGAACTGGAAAGGCAGCATGAAAGTCATGTTGTTGATGAGGCTCTCAAAGGGGTGCACACTGGGGGGGCTGCCCTTGTCCCCGGCGGCGGGGAGGCTGGCGCTCCTGTGGCCGCAGCTCTCGATGAACGCCCTGATGTCCACGTTCGCGGTCGGGGGCGGGATGAGCACGGACGGCTCCTCCTTCTCCTGAATCGCCATCAGCTCCACTATGGACTTGGTCTCCCCGAAACGCAGGAACTGCTGCAGCGTGGCCACCTCCTCCTCGCTGGTCATGATGCTCCAGTGATCCAACACCTTTCCCGACGCGTCCTAAACCCAAACCAGAACGTCAACGTACAATTCGCTGCCCACGCTTTACCCTCTCCTCGCAGAAAGCGCCCTGCGGTCAGGGCCCCCACGCGCACCCCGGGGCGCCTGTGTGCACATTCGAAAATGACGCCCCCTCTGGATGAGCACGGGGCTCGTTGGGTTCAGCGCCCACCCACGCCCCCCTCCAAGGCCAGAAACTCGGTGCGGAATATAGGCTGCACGAATATAAGCGGGCGTCCGAAAGAGAGACATGAAATTATATTACTCACGCCTCGGAAATTTGGTGATCATTTCCATCTGATTTCAAACCAATTAGTCGTCTTGCATGAGGCATTATAATCCTCCCCACAAAAATTAAAATACGTGCCTTCTGAAAATAGTCACTTCCCTCTCTAAAGACTCTAGATGGAGCAATCAGACCTAGATATAGCCTGAGTATTTATTCACTGCATTTTAATAATCTGCCCAAGCAACTACCATTGGAAAACAAATGAGCCTGTATTGATCTACGGCCCGAGTTCACAAAGCAGAGCTGTAATTACACGGGCGTGTTGGAGATCTTTCAAACTCTAGCAAGGCCTAACTTTTCCCAAAACTACAATAAATATTTTATCACAGAACATGTATTTGATGGCCTACTGAGATTTTTCACAGTGCACGTAAGAGTTTTGAAGATGAGGAAGAATGTAACATCATAAATTTTTCATGCACTAGAGGTTCAAGGTAATTGATTCCATATTTTTAATCCCAACGCTAGAAAGCAAGATTATTAGGATCATTAAATATTGATCTATGTCATAATGTAAGATCATAATGCTGCTCTACATAAAAGGTTGTTTCTAGCCTGTTGGGGGTCCTGCTCTCGAGGTGAGCAAACCTGTTTCCAGAGGAAGAGTGTGACCTTTAGACTCAGAAAGACGCGGGTTCAAATTCTGGTCTGCCACAGAGGAGCTGAGCGACTTCAGCAAGACTTAGAAGCACTCTGATTTTTCAACGGGAAAATGGAGACAATCTACCTACTTCATAAGGTGACTGAGGGGTCCAGGTCAAACACGGTTATTTGTGTTCATTTCCGTGATAGGGCCCATTGGAGAAAAGCTGGCGTGTCCGTTAGACTTAGAAATACATTCATACCCCCATTTCGCTGAAATTTTTACCTAAGTTGGCTGACATTTTCTAGTGCAGTGGCAAGAAAATGCTTTAGCTGTTTCATACGTCACGGAAATGATGTCATTCCTATCAGGAAATACATTCTTTGCTTGTGAAAACACCTTGATGGCCTAGCTGGTTACAGAAAGACAGGTAAAATGTACGGAGGGGAGAGAAGGCGTGAGAGATACAGAGAGATGCTCCTTTCATCTCTCCTTCCTACAGAGACAGAGGCAAAATGTGCGGAGGCTGCAAGAGAGTTGGAGGGAGAGCAAAAAACACAAGGGCACGAACACCAAGATATCCCAAGACGACAGATTCTAGGAAGGAAAAGCAGCAGCAGACGGCTTTGGGGAACAGAAGCTGCAGTTGTTCGCTTGTGGTCCTGCAGATAAGTTCCCTTCTCACCCCCAAACCGTCAGTGAGCTCGGATGCAGGCAGCACCTGTGTCAACAGGCACAGTCTGCAGATACTGAAAGAAACAGAGGCAGCCCCCAGGATGGGGAAGAGCTGCTCAGCGAAACCCAAGTCAGAGCCGCAGGCGACGTTCCCACACCCTGACTTCCACAGGGACCGGGAGGAAAGCACTGGGTTCCCCGCAGAACAGGAGGCAGGGCTTCAGCCGTTAGAAGAAGTGGAACAGGGCAGGGTGACTGCACTGCCTGTCACAGGGACGGGCAAGCAGGTGACCTCAGCCACACGGACGGGGATGGGAGAAGACACTGGAGGGGCCGGGGGTCCCGGGGGCCCTACCTGCAGCACGTAGCCTCGGATGTAGTCCTGAAGGGTCCAGTCCAGGGCGTGGAGGATCTGGAGAACCTCGTCTTGCTTCAGCACGCTGAAGAGCCGGTCCAGGAGGATTTTCAGGCGAACGGGGATGGCCTGGGTCCCGTACAGCATGAGGCTGCTAATGTCAAACACCACGTTGGACTGGACAATCTCTACCTGGCTTGTTGGATACAGAGGGGGGACCCTCAGCTTACTCAGAGCTGAAAAACCAAACGGAAGAAGTAACGTTTTTTAAAGAGTCTACTTGCAAGAGAAACACTGCAGGGGAGATAAGCTACAGCACTAACTCTCAGTGATGTGTTCTGACAGAGAAAACACGCTTATACAAACGATTAATTATCTTAACAGCTATCACAGGACTGGCCCAACAACTCTTTTCTTTTTCCTCCCTTTCCTGTGGCACCCCTGAGGTGTAAAAGAGCCACACGTGGGGAAAAGTACACAAAAACGGGGGTAAAAACAAAGGTGGCAGGTGCCCGGTCAAGAGGATGGAAAAATCAGAGCAGCAGGTGGAGACCCTGGACTTGGGAGGCCGGCAGGCCCGGGTTTGAGCCTGGGCGGGCACCTCCTACTTGTCAGGCTCGGCCAACGAAGCCGCCGAACTCTATGCTGTCCGGTGCAACAGACATCAGCCACATATGGCCCCTTCAGTTTGGATTTAAATTCCTTGACCCTTAAAAGAATTAGAAATTCAATTCTGCACTCATACTAACCCTAAGTCAAGTACTTTGGAGCCACATGTGGCCAGCGTAGGGTCAGGTTTTGTAGAGAGAAGTACAGGATGTCCAGTTAAATCTGCCTATAAACTTCAGATAAATGGCACATAAGTGGGATAGACTTAGGGCTAAAACATTATGTATTGTTTACCTGAAATTCAAATTTAACTGAGCATTCTGTATTTTGTCTGGGCTAGGGTTACTGTATTAGGCTACACAGAGCATTGTATCATCAGAAAATGATGGCACTGAGCATCTTTAGAATGGGGCTGACGGCCTTGGTGGGTGCGGCTCAGTGGATTGAGCGCCAGCCTGCGAACCAAAGGGTCGCGGGTTCAGTTCCCAGTCGGGGCACACGCCTGGGTTGCAGGCCAGGTCCCCAGTAGGGGGTGTGTGAGAGGCAGCCACACATTGATGTTTCGCACCCTCTCTTTCTCTCTCCCTTCCCCTCTTTCTAAAAATAAATAAATTAAATCTTAAAAAAAAAAAAAGAATGGGGCTAACAAAACACTTATCATATGGAGTCGTTAAGATTCAAAGCAATAACACATATAAAGCTCTTAGCCTGTTACCTGGCATGCAGTAATGACTCGCAAATGTTAGCTGTCCTTCTTAGGTATTACATCCATTCCTGAATAGCTCTAAGTTACTTAGAGGGAGCTCTGCCAGCCAAGAGAAGGGGAAAAAATACAGTTACCGTGGGCCACCCATCCGTGTCTGCACTGCTCACACTGGCGGTGGTTTATTTTCCCTGGTTTGAAACTTTGGCAACTGCAGTTCAGGGTACAGCCAATAGCCTGCCAGAGAGAACACAGGTATGTGTAGCCTGTTCGCGGTGTGTGGGACAGACACTGAATTTACAAAACAAAACCTCCGTTCAGCCCTGCGCATTGAGCAATGCATGCCCACTCCGTGCTGCGCCCAGACACGCACACCGGACCCCGGAAAGCGGAGCGGCTGGCCCAGGACCTGGAGATGGAGAACACGTAACACAGATGTTCTTCTGCATGGGAGAGCAGGCCCCAAACATCAGGGCTTTCCGTAAGATCATGGGCTGGAAAGAAATAACTTGCTTATTGTTATTAAGAAGGGTGAAGAGTCACATTTTCAACGAATCTCTCCACTGAGCAGAGCAGCAATGCTGAAATGTATGCAGAGGCCTCCTTGAGACAAGGGAAAGGGAGTTGATCGGCGCGGAGAGTCATCCACACCGGAGCCTGCCACCCATGCAGATGCGGCAAAAGCTGAACGCCAGAATAGCTTTCAGCGCCCTGAGGATGGTCCCCGACTCCGCCCACCGGACTGTGTGACTGAGGGAGACAGATACAGGCTGGACGAGCCGTGCGTGGGTGCCCGGCTGCGTGTTAAAGTGCTGTGTGCGGTACGTGGGTGTGGAGTGCGGACATATGGCTGAAATGAACAAACAAACAAACAAAAAATAGAGATGTACGTGCCAACGAAAGTCTAGTATTAGCAGCAAATCTTCACAGATATTTTTAAGATGAGTTCCTCAGATGGGGCTAGAGGCCTGCAGAATGTGATCTATTATTAAAGAGAAAAAGCTCCCACAGAGCTCCGACACAGCAGGGCTCCCGGGGAGAGCCGCTGGGGGGGGGTCCACGGGATCCAAGGCAGCCGTGAGACCGGGCAGCGTGTGTGTTTGGGGGTGGGGGACGAAAACACCCCGCAATTACGGGTTTAAACCTCCACCTGCCCATTAAGGGACTATGTGGCCTTGTGTGGGGACAGGAAGGGGAGAATCTGGCCTAGGACTCGCGAAACGCGCTGGAAGAGCGGCTGGAACGAGTCTTCACTTACAAACCTGCTGCTGGCGGGATGGTGAATGGGGCAAGCAGTTTGGACAACAGTCTGGCTGAGTCGCCCTAGGCTCCAGAGATTTCCCTCCTTGGTTATGTGCCCACGACAACGGAAAACATCTGTCCACACAAAAACTCGTTCTCCAAAGTGGAAACAACCCCAATGGCCTTCGACGGATAGACGGATGAACCAGCTCTGGTACATCCATACAGTGGAACACGACTGGGCAATAAGAAAGAACGAGGCCCTGATACATGCTACCGTGTGGAGGAATCTCGAAAACATTTGGCAAGGAAGGAAGTACACAAAAATGAAGGAAGTATAAAAAGTCAGAGGTTGTATGATTCCACTTACATGAAAGGTCAAGGTGAGCAGAGGAGGGGTCCCCCGGGGCGGCGGGGAGGGGGCCGAGACCGCTAATGGGTGGTGGTGAGGGGGAGTGGTTTTCTTTTTTGTGTGCTTTCATCTTTAGAAAAAACAGCTTTACACTGAGGTATGATTCCCATACACAATTCACCCACGGAAAGCACACAAGTGAATGGTGTTCAGTACAGTCACAGAGTCGTGCGGTCACCGTCACGGTGTAATTTTCATCATCCCCAAAAGGAGCCCGCGTACAAGCTTATGGTGGACACGCGTCTCCACGTCTTTGGGGAATGTGCTTAGGAGTGGAATCGCGGGGTGACGCAGTAACGTTCACCGTCTGAGAAACTGCCCAACGGTTGTCCAAAGGGGCTGCACCGTTTCACACGCCCGCCAGCGACGCATGAGGTTCCGGCCTCCCCACATCCTCGCTGCCACGCCGCGCACGGGCGGACCGCAGGTGACTTTCTGGCAATGGAAAGATCCCCAGTGATGCTACAAGGACGGATCCATGTCGTTAGACATTTGTCCAGACCCATGGGATGTACAACACCCAGTGTGAACACTAAGGTAAACTATAGGCTGTGGGTCATTATAAGGAGTCAGCGCAGGTTCGTCATTGCAACAAATGCGCCCCCCGCCTTTGAGGGGTGCTGAGAACGCGGGGGGCCGTGCAGGGGGTGTCCAGGAAGCGTCTGTACACTCAATGTTGCTGCGAATCTACAAACGTAAGGTCAAAAAAACAAACTGGTGGCCTTGCTTAAATACAGCTTCAAGTTTACACGATGTAACGGCCACCTACAATTCTTTCTGGATTACAATCGGCCTGACCAGAGCAATCAGACAGGAGATTTTCAGGTGGAGGACAGGGCCACTCACCGCAGAGGCGTGCGGCAGGGAGCAACGGTGCTACTGAATTACCAAAAGACAGGAAACACGGGGGAAACGGTTTTACTTTTTGTAAAGTCCTATGATAAAATATAAAGAAGTCCAGATAACCACAACACTGTCTTCCTCTCAATAATGCGTGCATTCCCACTGGGGGTGGTATCATCCCAAAGGGGTGCAATTTGTTATGGGGGGTGAAAAATATTCTTTTTATGTATAAAGTGCGGGTATACATACATCAACAGGCATACAGTGTGTGGTATAATAAAATTTCACTGGAGGAAACACAGTTAGGAAAAAAACACTTCTAAAGTCTCCTTTGATATGGGGGTGTGGGGAGAAATGAAAAATAGATTGAGAAACACTGCTTTAACACCAGGAATTATTTTTTTTTTTTACTTTGTGGTTATACAGTTTCTCCTTATATATACATTTTACTGATGTGTTAAATACATGAACTCATACATCTATACACCTATATGCATAACTTACATAGCTACCTTGACTGGAAGTTAAAGGATAAAACCGGGTAACAACTTAATTTTTCCTACACGTTGTCAAAGCAAACATTGTGAAGGGCACTGTCATTAGTCGGCAGTGCACCTGTTAAGGTGTCCAGCTTCTCAAACTTCCCTGCGACCCTGAACGATGGCTTGCAGACGACCTCGTCCATGTCCACAAGAGCTACCAGCACGCTCAGTACGAAGCCTCTGAAACAACATTTCACTGCCTACACTCTATGACGGCTTTAAAGAACATTTTAAAAAGGAGAAAAGTTCTTTCTTTGGATGATGTCCCTGAAAAGGCCGCTCACTCTCTAAAAACCGGGTGACCCTCCCCATGACGCAGAGCCCCGGGACACGCTGGGACACCGCCTGGGCCCAGCGCAGCAGGAGGGAACCACGTTCCCAGCACATTTCGCAGCCTCGGGTGGAAATTCATTTCTTTCTGCATCTCTTGATTCCTGACTCAGGGTTTCTCAGCTTCAGCGTTATAATCATCGCGAGTCGGGGAGTTCTTGGTGGGGGCAGGGGCCGTCCTGTGCATGGGAGGGGGTCCCGTAGCCTCTCCAGCTTCTCGGCGCCAGAGGCCCCGGGCACACCTCCCTCCCCCAGGTGTGAAAACCAAAAATGGCTCCAGGGACTGCTACGTGCCCCTGGAGGCAAAACTGTCCCCAGGTGGGACCCATGGACCTAACCTGATTACTTAGTTTTAGCAGTTTGTAGGTTGGGGACAGCATTTTAGGCAGTTTTAGCTACAATTCCAACGTTTGAATGCTGCTTAACAAGAAACATCCATGTGGTTCTACGTGAACGTATTTGAATAAGGCTTAATAAAGCTCATTAGACATCCATGGAACTAAACTCAGAGGAATTATTTATGAACAAAAAGGCTAATTACAGTATCTTAGAAAACTTCTAATACAAGGCCCTTGGGTTGTTCCACCCATCACAGAATTCTCCAACATAGTCAAACTATAGCACTATTATCAAAAGACAAATTAAAACTTCTAAAATGAAATCAAACAAAAAAAATACTGTCATTACAAGACAAAAAGTGCTCATGTAAATCCAAATGGAAAACTCTTAAAACTTACATCCTTCCCTTTGGACTCCTAATAGGTGTTCCTTCCTTCAGAAGCATAAAGCAGGTGCTCACGACATTCCAAACCCCTCACGACGTGGGTATCGCTTTTTGTGCACTCATCTGAATCAGGCTATTTCTGGATTGTTATCAGTCCCTTTGACGTGCTACGAATCAGCATTCAAAATGCTGGTTGGCTGTTTCAGTAACTACCCTTTGCTCGTTTGTTCATCCAGACGTTACCAACACACCCGGCATGTGATGCATGATTCCGTTATTTGTACTCTCGCGACGGAAAGTTACGAGCTGGTGTTTCGATGGGTTTGAGGGTCCCACTTCCTCTCCTAGGCACCCCTGAGCTACCTTGCGCTTGGGGAGATGCCGACTTGAGTTCCTAGCAGTGGCCACAGCCCAGGCCCTCAGTGGGGCAGGCACACAGGCATCCACTGCTGGGCAGTGCATGTCTTTTGTCGGATGCGAACTATTGAGCTGGAAAGAAAAAAACTGGCTACTTCAAAGAGGTTTTCATCTTTAGGACATGCAAATATATTCCTATCATGGAAGATAACCTGGGGGAGGTGTTCTTGGGGGACTAGATGGAAGAGGGGAGAGGAAAAATTACAGAAGACCTTTGGGGTCTCCAGAGTCATTGCACCGGCCCCTAGAGAGGAGCTGTTTTTGATCGGGCTCAGGAGCAGCACCCACTGTGTGCCAGCCAGACAGCCCTGCGGGTTCAAGCGACTTCACCTGCGCTGTCCAATACACTGACCACTTACTCACAGGTGGCTATTTAAATTAATTAAAAGCGAATAAAATTTCCATTCTTTGCTCACACCGGCCACATTTGAAGTGCTCAGCAGCTACCCGTGCCAGTGGCCAGTGGCTACTATACTGGAGAGTGGAGATGAGAACATTTCTATCGTCACCGAGAAATCGACCGGACGGTTCTGAGTCCGACCGTGAGACTCGCTGCCCTTCCAGCATCTGTCCTTCCACATGGTGGCGTTCGTATTTAGGTGATCCCGTGTAATCCTCACTACATCGCTGCCAGGAAGAAACTGTTCTCGGGAAACTAGAATGTATGGAAGAGCTGTAATATGCCCAAGGGCATGCAGTCGGTGAGCTTTACTGAGCAGGTATCACA